ATAGAGCTTTAATAATATTTTGAATTTGTGTTTTACATTTGAAATTTTTGTCAACCTGGACTCCTATCAGTTTTTCAATGTCTGTAAATTCTAACTCTTTGTTTTGAAGGTGTAGAGTAGATGAAGCATTAACTTTTGATTTAGTTTTTTTTATAGAGAAATTTATGACCTTAGTTTTTTGTGCATTTAATATCATTGCATGTTGCCTACACCATGTGGTAACACTATCAAGATCTGTTTGAAGATTATCATTCATTTCCTTTAAAGTACTCCCAGTAGAAGTTAGGGAAGTGTCGTCTGCAAACATATCGGTAGTTGACTGTTTAACATGAAGATGGATGTCATTAATGTATATCAAAAATAGTAGGGGCCCAAGGACTGAGCCCTAAGGCACTCCTGAGATAACATCAGCTGCTTCAGATAAAACAGCAGACACATTGACTTTTTGTAACCTGTCTGATCGATAAGATCTTATCCAATCTATAGCATGTGAATAAAAATTATAGAAAGGTAGTTTTTCTAGAAGAATTTGGTGGTTTACTAAATCAAAGGCTTTTGAAACGCCAAGAAAAACAGTTCCGACAAGTTTGCCATCATTCAGAGCACTGATCCAATTATCAATTATATTTGTAAGAGCTGTCTTACATGAATAATGTGCCCTGAAACCTGATTGAGCAGTGTAAAGTAAATTGTTTGTTTCTAAATAGATCTATCAGTGGCCTGATATATGTTTTTCAATTATTTTAGAGATAAGGGGAAGTACTGAAATTATCTATAATCATTTTTGTCTCCCTTTGGTCCTTTTTTGTAAACTGGCGTAACCTTTGACTGTTTTAGCTGAGTTGGAAATTTTCCACTTTTTATACTTGGATTTACATAGTGGTTTACTTATGACATCAGCTGCTGTTTTTAAATTTAGAAATTATGCACCAATACCATCTAGGCCTGTTGCTTTTTTGGCATCTGGACTATTGAGTTTCTGATTAACATAGCTTAAGTCAACAAAGGGGATTTCAAAATTATTTGACTGATTTGAAATTTTGGATTTAACCGATTCTTGTAAAGAAGTTTTCAATTCATATGATAATCCTTCTGATACATTTTCAGCTTTTTCAAATACACTTGCAAAGAAAGTATTTTAAGGTTTCTGCTGTTAATTTTGGATCAGTTATTGGTAAACCATTCTCATCATTTATGTAAGAATTTTGTTGAACATTTGTTTTTTTAGGATTTTTCTTATTTGAGTTTAAATCATAATGAAAGAAATCTTTTTTTTGCTGTATGAAAAAGTTTTTTTCACTTTTAATTTCCAATATTTGAAATTATCAACATTATTTTTCTTTTTTGCATAGTCCCTGTTATGTATTGCATTAGCTATATCCTCATTGAACCAATCACCTTGATTTTTATGCTTAACTCGCTTTTGTTTGTATGGAGCATGTATATTGATAGTTTCTAAAAATAATTTATTAAAAGTGTCTAAAGCGTCATCTGGATCATTAAACATATCAATAAGGGACCATGGTTGTTTTGACAGATCATCTAGAAATTTATCAGCGTTGAAATTCTTTAAGTACCTGTTATTGATTGTAAAATGAATTGGACCTTTTTAACATTTTTGATAGTTCGATTTGTGAAAATTATTGGAAAGTGGTCACTAATAGAAAGTATAGGGACAGTAATGTATTATATATTTTGTGATTGATTACTATAGACATGATCAATGATAGTTGGTGATGTTGATGTAACTCTTGTAGGCTATGTTATAAGTTGTGACAGATTAAATGTATTAATAATATTATTCCATGCTGAGTTATTTGAACCTGTAGTTCCAAAATTAAAGTTAAAATCTCCAAAAAGAATTATTTCTTTGTTTTTAACAAATATTTTTCAAGAATTTCTTCAATGTTATCATTCCATGAGGTTAAGGACGAAGGTGGCCTATAAATGTAACCTATCAAAAAAGGTTTTTGCTTTTCAAGTTTCATTTCGAACAAAACAAGGCCACCACCATTTGATTTTCTGTTACGTCTAAAGAGTTGATAATTGTTTAAAGATATCTCTAAGTCAGCAAAAACATCACTTATGAAAGTTTCTTGTAGACCTAGTATGTCAATGTCTGGATATTTGTCAACTAAATATTTGATTTCATCTATTTTAGGATACAGGTAGTGAATGTTTAAATGAAAAAAAGTTAATTCCTTAAATCTGTTCTTTCATCAGATTCCATAGAATTTAGATTTTCAGAAATAGGTTTAATATGTTTTGTTATCCTTTCATTTTGATCAGTAACGTTTCATCAAGGTTTTCATTTAATAAAACTGGTGTGGTCCCATCCATGTTGACCTTGGCCAGGGATTCCATGGTCCCTGATACATTCGGAATCTTTGATGGGGATGTTGATGTCGCCGATTATTTCCAAACCAGATGTTGGCATTCCGAAAATTTACACGTTCTCTTCTTGTTGTCCGGAATTGTTGGTATTAATCCCAAGGATTTTTCTAATGCCTGCATTAATTTGCTTTCCCAATATAGCTGAACCTTCTTTATTCAGTTGTACTTCATCATAGTAAAGATTCTGATTTACATTATCATATTTCAAGAATGCGCTAGTATTATCTAGGAAAAGGAATCCTTTGTTCTTGCAAAGCTTTTCTAGCCGACTATTTGCTTCATCAATATTTTTCTTGATAATAAAATATTGCAAAGTGAATTATCAACGCGCCGAACACCTGTGACTGTGACATTAATATCACCCACTGACTCGTAAGGTGTGAAGACATCAGGCCTTACTCAGTATAGTTACTAGTACCACACATATATTATACAACAAACTGTGTTGAGTATCTTCATTTTCTCCAATAAGCAACCGACATCGCTCCAATGTATTTAGAAAATAATTGAAGTGTGATTGAAAGCAACCTTAACAAAAGTTGGGTTTTAAAACAATAGTATTGAAGAATTCAAATTGCATTTACAAGGTTCGTATATTAAAATGTATAAACATGTATGTACAACATTTCACTGCCAAAAAAATATCAGAAAATATTTTTTTTAAAAATCTTCTTTTTTCTTATTATGTTTTTAATAAAAACATGTGATTTTGATAAACATAATCAATCTTGGTTTTATAGGAATTGTTATTATTGTTATATGAAGCGATTTATTTTATACTTGACAGGTTTTTCATGATTTCATATGTGATCATATATGTTAGACTTAAATAAAGTAAAATTGAAATGACTCCTAAAAATAATATCGGTTATTTGATATGCAGCTAGATGATGTAATTTATAATTGATTCAAAACATGCAAGTAATGTTGGTAATTCATAAAAAAAGTTGACATAAAAGCATTAAAAGTATGGGAAAGCTCCATTTTCAATCTCAGATTTCAAAACTTTCTCAGTCACAAGTAAGAGGTAAATTAGTTCTGCTTAAATGTCTAAAACCACGCCAACTGTCGCGAAGAACGCGATTTTATGATATATACCTCAGCATAGTGCATTGGCCTTGACTATTGTATCTGTCGCGCAGACGAGATCCGTCGGGCTGACGAATGTTGCCGCCGGGATAATTAATGACTTTCTTAATTTTCATGATTTGTATGTTTTTCCATGCTTTTCTGACTATATATAAGTGAGGACGAATTTATATTTTGGCAGTGTATTCTAGTGGAATAATATGGACATTACTTTAAAGTTAAAGTGAAATACTGAAATGTTTCAAATGTTAATGTTTCTAAAATAAAGGAAAGTAAAATTGAATTTGATTTTCGTTTTATTTTATGTGGTATAAAATCTCTCCCACATAAATTGGCGCCGGAACCCGGGAATTGAAATCGGGAAAAAGGAAGTGCTTACACGTGTGCAATTAAAAATGGCAAATATTTCATATCTAAAAGGTGTTAGGACTCGGTTCTATAATATCCTGAGTAAAGAAGTAGAAATAGCAGATGTAATTCTAAATGAAAACTTTGATTTCGCAGACAAAGGTGTTTTGATTGAAAAAGCGGATAAGTGCATAGAACGGATGAAAATATATCGTGAAAAGTTGGAAATTCAGACGATTATATTAGCTAGTGCCCTTGGAGATACCGATGAGGAAATACTGACTAGCTTTCTCGAAGAGGATAGTCTACTCACGGACAGATTTACGGATCTAAGCATTGACCTTGCCAATCTGAAAGACAAACTAAAGGCCTTGAAAGTCACTGAAGACGAAGAAACAAACAGCGGAGAAAGGGTTCGTGCAAAAGAGTTAATGGATTTACAACACGAAATGCAAAATATTGTCGTAAATCAAATAAAGCAAAATCAGATATCTTTGAAATGAGTGAAAAAAGGGAAGAGATGAACTCGCCAGTTAAGCTTCAAAAAATCGACCTCATTTCCTACAATGGTGATAAGCTTAAGTGGACAGAGTTTTGGGATGCCTTCAAATGTACGGTACATAAAAATACAAAATTATCAAACATAGAGAAGTTTATCTACTTGAAAATTAAAGTGTACGGTGAAGCAAAGCGTGCTATTTCAGGTATTTCACTCACCGATGGAAACTATAGTGTTGCTATTAAAACACTAAAGGAACGTTTTGAAAACGTGCAGGAAATAATTGACCTACATTACAACAAAATTATCAATTTATTTCCGCCAAATACTAAAACCGAGAGTTTACGAGCATTCTTTGATCAAATACAAAAACATCTGTGATGCCTAGAAGTCCAGGATATATTTGTAGCTATGATACATTCAAAAAAACCACAAGAAATACTCCTTCAGTTAGAGATGCAAAAAGGAAACACTAAAAAATGGACAGTGTTTCTACTTCACGATGCTCTGGAGACGTATGTAATTGCACGTGAAAGGTCTGAACAAAAGTCTCAGACATCAAAAGACTGTAAGTGCTAATATTGTGACGGTGATCAGCGGAAACATCAGAAGAAAACGGTTGAGTGTGCATACAAATGAGAGTCTTCAGCATTTGTTGAAGAGTGTTAATATGGCTGATACTATACCTACAAGTGAAGAATATTCTAGTGTAGATTTACTCATAGGAAATGATTATTATTTGGATATCATACTCTTACAGAAGATGGAAGTACAGCCAGGATTGTATCTTCTTGCCTCAAAACTTGGCTGGATTCTAACGGGTCGTACAAACGATGATAACGATGCAAACAGTACAAGTGAATCAAACATGCTTGTATTAACTTACGGTACAGAAATAAGAAAAACAAGTGTTTTTACAAGTGTTGACTCCACTGTCCCAACAAAACCAGATTTAGATGACTTCTGGAATCTTGAAACTATTGGAATCACAGATAACGCAAAGGAGTATAATGATGAATTAGCTAAACAAAACTTTAACGAAACCTTGACATATCAAAATAAAATGTACCAAGTAACATGGCCTTGGAAAGAAAAAAGCCCAGATCTACCACAAAATCGAGGACTAGCGATGTCAAGACTGAAATCAAATGTGGCAAGACTGAAAAACAAGCCTGATGTGCTGAACAAATATAATGAAGTAATCCAAGATCAGTTGAATAAGGGCGTGATTGAAAAGGTCGATAAGAACGTTCAAGACGGACCCATGCATTACATTCCACACCACGCAGTTGTTACACCACAGAAATCAACAACAAAATTACGTATAGTATATGACGCATCTGCTAAAACGAAACTTGGAAATAAAAGCCTCAATGAATGTCTTTATCGTGGCCCTGTGATGCTTCATGATCTTGTTGGATTACTGATGCGATTCAGATTACACCAAGTTGCAGTGGTAGCAGATATCGAAAAGGCATTCCTTCAAATCGGATTGCAGCCAAGCGAACGAGACGTTACAAGGTTTCTTTGGATAAAGGATTTTAACAAAGCTTACACAGGAGAGGGAAATATTCAGGAGTATCGTTTTTGTCGAGTTCCATTCGGCATTATCTCAAGTCCTTTTTTGTTGGGTGCAACTATTGAGTACCATCTAGACTCTTACCATAACAGCATTGCCGACAAAGTTAAAGATGACATATACGTAGATAATGTCATTACGGGTACCGACAGTTACGAAGAAGCATTTGAACTGTATAGAGAAAGCAAAAGGATGTTTTAAGAGGCGTCAATGAACTTACGAGAATGGACATCAAATAGCGCAAAGTTGAATGAATTGATACCTGAAGAGGACAAAACAGATAGTTCCATTACCAAAGTACTGGGGCTTACATGGGATACAATGGTGGACACTCTTTCACTAAATGTGTCATTTGCTTCCATTGATTCACAAAGTCCAACAAAAAGAATTATATTGAAAAACATCGCTTCCGTGTTTGATCCTTTGGGACTCCTCTGTCCTGTTTTGTTGAAAGGAAAAGTTTTATTACAGTCCATATGGAAAGAAAGGTTGGATTTGGATGATCAGATAAAAGATTTCAAAACCCTTGATACCTGGTCATTTGTGAAAGAAGACTTGGAAAAGATAACAAGTTTTAAATTTCCAAGAACCATTGCTATGAAGAAATTTGAGCACAATACGGAAAATGTTTTAGTGTGTTTTTGCGATGCATCAGCAAAAGCATATGCTACAGCAGTATATTTACTTCAAAGGAACGAAACAGAAACGACAGTGCATCTAGTCTTCGCTAAAAGCAGGCTTGCTCCGTTAAAGGAAATCACTATTCCAAGACTAGAATTGATGGCTGTATTAATAGGTGTTCGGAGTGTGAAATTTGCATGCAATCAACTAAAACTGAATTTGAAACACGTGTATGTATGGACAGATTAGCAGTGCTTTTTGCATTGGGTTAAAACTGAGAAAAAGTTGCCAGTCTTTGTCAAGAACAGAAATAAAGAAATCAAATCAAACAAAGAAATTAATTTCGAACATGTCGCCGGAGACCAGAATCCGGCGGACATTGCGTCTAGAGGGTGTTCTGTTAAGCAAATCTGTGACAGTGAATTGTGGTGGCATGGTCCGCAATGGTTATTGCAACCAGAAAACACTTGGGCGGATAGGAATACATGTGAACCAGACCCATGTGTCACGAATGATAATTCAACAGACCTTGTGATGCAAGCATCTGCGATGGATGGACAATCGTCACACCGCCTTTTGAGATAGATAGTGAAAAATATTCTTCATTCACAAGATTATTGAGAGTGTCTGTTTTAGTGTTAAAATTCTGTCGTAAAATACGAAAATTAGCATGTGAACGTGGAAGTATAACGAGTTCTGAATTGAAAAATGAGGAAGAAAAGTGTTTAATGTATGCTCAAAGAAAACATATTGCTTGTGAACTGAATTCTCTGGCAAAAGGAAAGCGAAATAGTCTACAACAACAATTAGGTCTGTATATTGACGATAGAGGGTTGTTGAGATGTAAAGGCCGTTAAGATAACGCTGGGATTAGTGAAAGTGCAAAACATCCAGTGTTATTGCCGATAAAAGAGCATCTGACAAATCATATCATTGAAAAAATGAACCGAGAAGTACTACACAATGGTATATCTCAAACACTGGCGCGTAATCTAGGCATAGATATTGGATTCCACAGGGTCGTGCAACAGTAAAATCAGTGATGCATAAGTGCAATTTGTGTCGGCGCTTTCACGGTGGCCCATATCAGATGCCGCCGATGCCTACTTTGCCTACATCTAGCGTGACAGAGTCTAGGCCAATTTTACGAGTTGGATTAGATTATATGGGTCCAATGTTCGTGAAAACAAATGGAGATCATAAAAGGTGTGGATATGTCTGTTCACCTGTCTCGTAACGAGAGGTGTGCATTAAGAAATTGTGCAAGATCTGTCCACGGTGGAATTCTTGCTCTGTCTTCGGATGTTTATCTCGCAAAAAGGTACTCCTACACAGATTATTAGTGACAATGCAGCCCAATTTAAGTTTGCCAGCAGTCTACTCGATAAAATCTGGTGTAAAACACTTCATAGTGAAGACGTGCAATCCTACGTGTCGAATGCAAGAATCACATGGAGTTTCATTACTGAACTAGCTCCCTGGATGGGAGGTTTCTACGAAAGACTCGTAGGATTAGTAAAAAGAGTTTTCAGGAAAGCCTTAGGACGACGGCTACTTACACTCATTCAGTTACAAACATTAGTCAAAGAAGCAGAAGCAGCTTTGAACTCAAGACCTCTTGTCTACGTCGGAGACGACGTCAACTCAACTATCACACTGACACCAAGTCATTTTTTTTACTTTAAACTCAAGTATCGGGATTCCGGAAACTGTTTCAGATGACAAAGACTCTGATTTTACGCCATTTACCAGTTCAACGTTTCGGCTCCTTGACATTAATTTTGGAAGAAGGGCAAAAAACTTCTGAACATGTTCTGGAATATTTGGCGAAATGACTACTTATTAAGTCTGCAGGAAAGGGCACAGACGAAACTTAGTACAGGAAGAATTCATGCTAACTGTAAACCAAAATTTAATGTAGGAAATATAGTGCTTCTGAAAGAGAATTTACCGAGGGGATGTTAGAAAATTGGGAAAATATTGAATTTAGTTTAAAGCCTGGTCATATAAGAACTGCTATGGTACAAACGGCGTCTGGAAAAGTGCTTGGACGTCCATTAAATTTACTTTTTCCTATTGAGACGTCCGTTACTGCAGATGAGCCTTATTCACAGAGTCCAAAAGTTCCTAATGCAGAAGAATCGCAAAATGTAAGTCGAGTACCTTGCACTGCTGCACAATTGGCTAAACATAAAATCAAAGTACAGTTCTCGCAGTAATATAAATGTTAACTGTAGTATTTGGCGGAGCAAACGTATATAAAAATCAGTAAGCGGAGCAAGGTTAAAATAAGTCATTCTCAAAATTCACGTAATTTTTGTGCAGCGGATTAGTAGCTAGATACTCTTTAAGTACACGTGCGTTTTAGTACATGTGTTTTGCTGTAGATTCTATTAGTAAAGACGCTAAATATTAAATTATATTATAACAGTCTTGAAACATGGCGTATATTTGTGATACTTGTGACAAAAGTTACAAAACCTTGAGAAACTTGAGACGACATATCAAAGAAAAACACACGCTCATTGAATACTGGGAGTGCACTTCTCGATTCATTCGGAGAAGCTATTTGAGCAAACAGCTGATTCTAAAACATAAGTATAGTTCGGATATAACGAGGGAACTAGCTCTTAGTGCCGAAAGAAGCAATACCAACAAAGGCTACTACGAGGACGTTAGCGCCAACGAAAGCATTTTTGATCTGATAGCAGAAAAGAACAGTAACACAGACAACATTCAGTTTGCCAATTTTGTTAATCAATTCGACGTGACATTGCTACAAGAGAGTAATGTTGACACGGGGAATAATATGAGTACAACTTGTGACAACGAGATTTGTGCAGTTTCTGACAACGAAATTAGTGTAAAAGTGTGTTCAGTGAAATCTCGGTTCAGAAAGATCCAACGAGAAGAATGTACATACTAAATGATTGATAACTTGGATTATTATGATATGGATGTTACTCTTGATGCCAATTCAGTTGATCATGACGTAAGTGTCAATGATAACGTCACGATTGGTGATTGCAACATGAGTGATTGTGATGCCAGCACTATAGACTATAAAATAAATGAACATGTAAATGTTGATATTGGGGAAAATGCCATTGATGTTGTCACTAATGATTTTCCGGATGTAAGTGTTAACGATGACGTCATTACTAGTGGTTGTGACGTAAACGATGACATCGTTAATGGAAATTACTACCAGTATGAAGATATAAGCGACAGTGATGTAGTCTTTATCGATAGTTGTGATGAAAGCGATTCGAGTGACGTGATTATTGATTGAGATGAGCAGTCCTCGGCTGTGGTACTATCAGAGTTGACAACCCGTACTCAGACACTAATACTTACTTTTACTAAAAGAACCAGCTATATCGGTCAACAGGTGGTGGATGAATCCATATCTGCAGACAATGACTTTTTTGAAATTTAATGCCTTTGGTGGGGAGTGTCGCAAAGTGTTGTCGCCGGGATAATTAATGACTTTCTTGATTTTCATGATTTGTATGTTTTTTCCATGCTTTTCTGACTATATATAAGTGAGGACGAATTTATATTTTGGCAGTGTATTCTAGTGGAATGATATGGACATTACTTTACAGTTTAAGTGAAATACTAAAAGTTTCGTTTATGTTTCTAAAATAAAGAAAAGTAAAGTTCAATTTGATTTTCGTTTTATTTTATGTGGTATAAAATCTCTCCCACATAAATTGGCGCCGGAACCCGGGAATTGAAATCGGGCAAAAGGAAGTGCTTACACGTGTGCAATTAAAAATGGCAAATATTTCATATCTAAAAGGTGTTAGGACTCGGTTCTATAATACTGTTTATCACCGATCAACGTCCGAAGCTTCGTTAGGTGCTGTGTTTGATTTTACGTGTTATGATTTTTTTAGTCTGAGAGACGTATATTTAGAATTCATTCTCCGAGAACGGGGTCGAAATATTGGGATCTTTTTTATCATGCCAATATACATGTATAACATGTATGGTATATTATCAATTGTAACCATAACCACCAACAAGGGACATTTTCAAACTTTCAATATTTATTCGCAAATCAGTACAAAAATCTTTAGCCACACATATATATTCTTCATTTGAGTCTCATCATAAAAACAATTCAATTACATAATTTTACAAAAATAAAAGTTGTTTGTGTACAGAATTACTGTAAACATAACCTAATGGAAGGGAGGCAACTTTGCACAAATTTTCAACAAAAGTTACAGAGTATCCTCTCTTCTCATTCCATATTCGTATGCATATTACAACTTAAATAGAAACTATTGCTATACTTAAAGAAATTCTGGTACAAGTGATAGAAAAAGCATCGAAACACGAGGCTATCTTATTTGTACGAGGAGGCGTAGCCCCCCGAGCATTAATCAGGTTGCCGAGTGTTTTGATGATCTTTCTCTTTTGTATCATAGTCAAACATAAAAACACGATCCCTGTTGTCACAATATGAAACCCCGGGGAAAAGTAACCAATGAACGAACATCTGAATATGATATTTCTGTCGCTTTCTCTTTCTCTTCCGTCACAATAAGTAAACCCCAGCAAAAATGAGCCAATCAATTGACATGCTCTGGAGTGCGGGTGTTAATTGTCATCGGACAGACTAAAAGATTGCTCAATTACATTTTCCACTTTGGCAAATAAATCTTTACTAATATACTCATACCTTGGTCAATACAAAATAATATGTTTCTCATCTTCTATTTCAGTTTTACAGATTAGACAAATTCTTTGGTTTAAAGCTAACCTTTCATATCAATGGGGGCTACCTCACATCGAAACTTTGCAAATGCTATCTGCTCTATTCTTATTTGGCAGGATAGAAGTTATAGATGTTGCTGTTTCATAACTAAACTTAAAGGTTCTATAAGTTCTCAACTTATTTCTACCTTGTCCAGAACTACTATTAATTGTATGGAGTGACTCAATCCATTCATCCAAATACTCTTTCAGATATGAACTGGTTAGCTTTTCCACAAAACATGTTTTTTTGAAAACATTTTAAGAACTAAAAATTCACCACAATTAAAATATGTTTTTCATAAACTTTCTTTTACTCTAACATACCAGATCTTATAAGTTCTAATCCTAGACCTAAAGAGTTTATGTTTACAGCCAGATCATTAATTTAACAGTTGAATAACACTGGGGATAAAATGAACCCTTGACGTAATCCCAAATCTATATCGAGACTTGATAACATTCAACATTTTACAATTCAATCCCATCTTAAATTAATTTTCCCATTATATTTAATGGTCAACTGTGTCATACGCCTTTATCTATAAACGCAGTAAAAGTGCAGAGTTTCTTTTTTAAGCTGGTTTCTATAAAAGATGTGATACTTGATAGATTGTCCCCAGTACAACGCTTCTTAAAAAAGCCATTTTGCTCATCTACTAGCTTGGAATTATCCTCTAACCACGATGAAAACCTTTCGTTATTAACTGAACAGTATAGCTTATAAATTGTTGATGCTAGAGTTTTACCCCTTTAATTCAACGGATTCAAAGGATCTGTTGTATTAAATTTTGGGATGGAATTAATAATGCGTTTACCCAAATCTTTAGGTATTTGACCAGTTCGAAACATACTTTGAAAAATACATGTAAAAAGGAAACTGCAATATCATTTTTAAAAGCTTCATATGGTATATTCTCAACACCACAAGCTTTCTGAAATAGTATTGTCTAGCTGTGGGATAAAACTGTAATGATCTATCTGTACATCTCTTTGATGATAAACACTTGATCCGTCAGCAGAGGAACCATTCAAAAGATCTTTAAAACTATCTTTCCAATTGTTAAGTTTGTTTGACTCCGAATTTGGTATGCATGCTTTTTGCATTGACTTAAAGTACAGCGCACAAGAATACATCACAGTCATCATTTGATCTGTCAGTGTAAAACTTTTCCATAGTATTTTTATTTTTGATAATTTAACAGTTTTATTGATCCTTACGTAACATTGTTACAATCAGTTCAAATGCCACTAAAGTTATATAGGTAAGAAGAAAATGCCTAACTGACAGCTATAAAGTTGACAAGGCGATTCATCTGACTAGCGGAGTTCTGGTTGCAATGAATTTTACAATCAGGGGTACTCTCTCTCTATGTGATAAGCATATGCACGGAGCAGGAACTGTTATAGGAGGGATGGAGTTCTTATGATAACTTGTCAGGCGTTCTTGTGATAACTTTCACAGAGTTCGTCGGAAAACATTTTTGTATACTACAAAAACACGTGCAAAGGATAAGCGTTATACATTTCATAACAATATGCAACCTTATTGAATAATAAAAAACGCTAAAACGTGCCGTGAGTTAGCGCAAGAAACACACTAGCACTAACAAAAGTTATCATAAGGACATCTTCAGAGTTATCAAAAGAACTCAAAGACATTTGAAAAATTGGGTATAAATTTGTTAGCTGCGGCTTTATGTTTGCAGTTTTGCGTTATAGTTAGGAAATTAGGAATGGCAAGGATGCAGACCAGAAATAAAGGTCAATACGTGGAAAAAAATTTGGAATTTTTTCTCAAGACTACCAGATTTTAAGCAAGAGGCGATGAAGAATGACCTATGAGCTAGTTTTTGACACATAATACAAGATGTAAGGCAAGCTTAATCATCAAAGTTTAATTTAGCACCTAAATTTACTTTTTTAATATGTAAATTACCATTTTGACTAGTGTTTTTGTAGTACATACAAAAGTTTTTCAACGATCTCTGTGACAGTTATCACAAGAAGAACTCCTGACAAGTTATCATAAGAAATCCATTCTTCGTGTAACAGTTCCTCCCCCATAATATGTGATACGCATCTTACATGCCTTAAAGTTTAAACCATTATTTAAACTTTCTTGCTTGCTTCATTCTAAAGAAGTAAAAATATTTCATTCGTTATTTAGGCATAATGTGCCTTTAAAGCAGTGCAAACTATTTATAATTATCAGGTATTTACGTTACGAAATGTCCTGAAAGAAACAAAGTACAAATAGCCAGCCAATCTGTACTCTTTACTTTGATTTGCGTTTTTTTTTTCTCTATTTCTTAATGATTGATTTAAAAAGAAAGTTTCTTTAAAACCTTTTTTCGTGAAATTAAAACATGATAAAATTCCACATACTTTTACGCGCCGGAAAGGCTTACCGTGTAAAGAGAAAAGATTCCCCATATAAAATGTTCTCCTTTTATTCATATGATTTATCGAAAGCAAAAAATCATTGTATTTTTTATTTCATATTTTATTTTATTTTATTTCATATTTTATTTTATTTTATATCAAACTATTTTATTTTGGCATAATTTGCAGCGAAATTGACAGCCAATATATTATAAAAGAGCCACTTTACAAGTCCAGATTATATGACATTCGATACAATGATTGTGTCTTGACTAGTAATTGGTCAGTAAAGTGTACTATAACCTCTTTTTTATAACGTAAATTTCATTTTACCGATACGACACTAATTTCACCTTCTCCATTATTCGTATTACTGATTTTACAGATTAACAAAAAAGCAAACTATATAATTATTTATGCCATATCTTGATTTTTAAGTAGATAATTAATAATTAGCGACGCTTTGTAGCCATTGAACATATGTCATTTCAACAAGTACGGTAGCACAGGCAAAGAGGGTTTTTTTTCAAATCAGGATAATATTTTGCGTAAAAGATCAATCATGGTAAGTCATTTTATTATTTAACAAGTGTCCACTTTTGTAGGAGTTAAACAGAAGAGCGGAGATACAGAGACAGAGAAGGTTTATGACCTCATATATTTCGTCATCTTTCCCCTGTCCCCAACAGTTAATTTTCTCAAAGTTGCTATAAATGAATAAAAATATTACAATTTTGATCTCAAAATGATTGTACATGGCCTTATAAATGGAAAATAAAACGTTATAAAAAGGAATAGCTTTTATTTAATTTTGCATGCAAGCAGTAGACCAAATGTGCAGCGTTGCTTTATCTGGACACGACAAAATATTTAATTATAATTTGCTCATGAGTTTCACTATGACGCTAGTGACCTTTGTCACTTTATAACTTTATAAAACCGCACGTTTGTAACGTCACTTTTCATTGGATAATCGTGACGTTTATATAGTTTTATTTACACGGCTGCTGTCGACTTATGAAGAAATCTTTCTTTTTTCTTTTAAAAATGATGCTTGCTGTATTATAAATTCGTTATAAAGATTGTTGACATGTTATATGACCATATATAAACGGCTGTTTGCAATATAACCCTCGTTTAGCGGCTCGGGTTATATTTACAAATAGCCGTTTCTATAGGGCCATATAACTTGTCAACAATCTTTATAACTAATAATATAAACGTCACGATTATCCAATTAAAAGCGACGTTACAAACTGCAGTATTACAATATAAGGTATAAAGCTTTTATGTGACACTGCTTGTGCTATTAGAGTCTGGTATGACGTTACGGACATTTGGACTTTATAACATTCCTTTTTCAATACAAGGATTTGCCTTCCATTTTGTCCCGAGCTGAAGTTGGTGTCTTCTTTGAGCAGATTGAAAACAGATTTATTTGGAAACTGCGTTTTATATACATGTATTATACATGTATTAAATTAAAAGGTCAAGTAAGGACAATGACAGTTTCAGCATATTGCACAAGTTCGCACGCTGACGCAGTACTATTAAAAACGGGCACGTCAAGACAACGTACATTGTCGCAAGGTGACGGCGTCAACGTAAGATCAATAATACGTAGATTAACGACAACAATATTTTATTTTATACTAACCAGTGAAATTCTCTGACTTATCTGTGAAATAAAATCACAGTATAATAATCACACACACTGTGTCTGATATAGCTTTGCCGGACTATTTTGGCGTAAGTTATTCTGTCAATTTGATATATACATAAAAATAACGGCGTATTCCGCGATTAAAATATCATTATTTCTTTTATATAATTAAAATATTAATCGCAATTATAGAAACAAACTTTAATAATATTCATTTGCGCAGCGTTTGTGTATATTCACATCATGTTTGCTTTCAATCAGGAACGGACTGCAACTGACCATACGTAAGAAAACGGCTATCAAGCATAGTGGACCCTCGATATAAAACTCTTTTTACAAGATTAACATCGATGCACAGCATCAATTCGTGAAAAGAAAATCATTATTATACACCAAGTTAAAGTTTAAAGCACGCACTGTGACTGTGCTATCAAATGAGTGACCGTGAGTACGGTTTTTCCGCTTCGAAATCATCAATCAAATGCATATCGTACTTCAGATAGCTTCGTTTTCATTTCAAGAGTCCAAAATGTCTACATCAACTGCATATTGTACTCCATCTAGCCTATTTTTTTCAGGGTACAATAATCATATATCAAAATACAAATCGTATCCCTGATAGACTCGTTTTCATTTTCAGCGTCTAAAATTGTATATTAAATAAATATTGTACCCCATTAAGCATCGTTTTCATTAACAGAGTCAAAACGAAATTATATTAAAATGTAAAAAAAAAGTGAAATAATGGTCATTATACCATGAGCGCAATACTAATTCTATTGGACTCAGCGGTAGAGCCTATATAAGACTCGGCCAAGGCCTCGTCCAATATAGCTTTGACAACTGTGTACTCGTCCATTAGAATTAAGTATTGTCTATGTACACAACCATGTATAATAATCTCATATTATACGTACTGTATATTTTGTATCCTTTTTGAAACACTTATTCTGTTTTTACATACAATTAAACGTTGTTTTAATATTTTTATTAGACAATCTTCTTCTTAGGGACGTTTAGGAAAAGAATTGCAAATCCTCTACTTAGCTTTCATAATAACCTGACAAACATCATTCTGCCAAAGATTTTGTGGCGACTTTACGTCACTTTTTGGGGTTAGGTGCGCTGCGGATAAGATCTAAAATTACCATCGGTTCAGATCGGTTTTGCTTTTTTTTTTCTTTTTTTTAAAGCATTAACTCTTACATGGAAATAACTTGCTCTGGTTTAAGTTTATCGGTACTTAACAATCTTCTTTTAACTAATTCAGCAGATGAAATAGTTGGAGCAACGTGAACGAATTAATCACTGAATCAATGGGGAGAGTGAATGAAGTTAAAGCTTAATGAGGGTCCATCCGCCCTTTCGGGCACAAAATGCAGCTTGCACTGTCGAGTACGGACCCCGGACATAGCACCAGTCATGTCCTTAAAGAGTTAATTTTGAAGCACACAGTGGTGATAATTTACCTCCATGCAATTTCCACGGAGTATTAGCCAAAGATATGAATTTTGAGCCAAAAGTAGGTCACTGTACGGCGGTCAATGAGAACCTAAATGTACAGTAACCTGTGACAATAGGAAAGGTGGTTAGCCCTGAAAAGGGCTGTTTACGCCAGCAATAGGTCTGCCTTTCAAGCCGTTTAACCGTGGTAAGGGCTCACGCACCCTAGCACACCGTCGACCCAAGCGCCTACTTTGTAGGGCCACTCTTCTCGGCATTAGTCAGGACACCGGCAGCTGGTCCGCAGTTGTTGACGAAGTAGGAGTTCCGTATTTAACGCCCACGGAGGCTTCAGTTTAAGGCCGTTATTCCATTGTCTACCAGCCAAGCTGTAAATCTTCTACCGTTGTCCTGTGCCTTCTCAGCGACGTGCACGCTCCGAGGGGAAGTGAGACGATCAATGGGGAGAGACTTTAGATTGGGAGAGACTTTAGATTGGGAGAGACTTTAGATTGCCGATGAAATAAGTTTCTATGCAGATGTTTATGCACTTTTCTTGAAAAAAAATGCATTGAAATTTAAACATAAAACACCTTTTCGCGCTGTCAGCCGCTACGCTAGCTAAATAATATTCTATTTTTTTTACAACGGACGGTCAAAATCGATTTTTATATAACTACGCCGAAAAAACGTGTTTAGATCTGTAAACATCAATTTGGTATCTACAATTTAATTACATTTAACAAAAAGCAACCTTGTATTTTAGAGATTATTATAGAGACCATTTTGACAGATATAGAAAATTATTTTTTACATTCATTTACTGATCCGAGGCATAGAATTTAAAAACTTCAAAAAGAAAACAAGTGGCGAACATTATAAAAGTTAGATAATTATTATGTTTGTACATGTATGTATGATATCCGTGGCCTTCTAAGTCAGATTTTTTTAATTTGACTTCAATCAAGTAAGCATTAAGTACTAATGTGTAAATTAGAAATTACAGTCAATCACTACAAATGGGTGGATATATCAATACTTGAGAAAAAAAAAACATCTACACATATCGTTTATTGTTGTGTGCCTTTCAAATAATTTCATGAAATATGTATATGATGTTTGTAACATAATATGACCCAGTCTCTTATAACTCCACTATGGAGAGGCAATATATTTTTTATTATGACTATATATTCATATTAAAACTTATTAACTTAAGTATCGTCAATATACAACATGTGGTCATTTTGTTATTAAATAAAAAGCACGATTATAAACAAAAGTACCATGAGCGTTTGCCTGTTAATCGGGAGACATAGCTTCGATTCACGGACGTAGCTGGTCACTTTCGTTGTGATTGCTTACGGTCATTCAAACTGTAACTCTGCTCTGGCATGTAGAAATGTTATCAGTTCAGGGAACTAGTACTGGTAAACTGCTTTACAGACTGTCAAAGAACAATGAAATAAATGAATATATGCTCTGGTAAGTTCAATGAATCTGCGGCAAGTGATCATAAAATGAAGATCATCGTTCGATATTGACGAAATAAATTTCTTTAAATAGCTACTCATTACAAATGAAATATTATCTTATCATTTTGTCCTTATATGTAGTAGATTTTTACTCAGCGTTGATCGGAAATGTAGGAAATAATACAATTTTTTTTTCAAGGAAAAATAATGACACGCATTTTATGAAATAAAAATTCCTCTATTTCAGTTTTCTTTAATCCAATTTAAGATATAACGACCCTAAATAAATGTGGCCACTCTAAGGAACTGAAAAAATGACAGCATAGGTCAGTTATATACCTGAAAGGACACCTGCATGCAAAATTTTAACATAATTTACAGAACGGTTTACGAGTTATGGACACTTTTCTGAACAAAAGCTAAGATATTAAAAAAGGCTGTTCTTAAGAAATTAGAACACTCATATATTCTATTATATCATCCTGATGAAAATCCTTTTTTAATAAACAAATATTAAAATAATAACATTCATCTCTGACAATGAATGAAGCAAAATGGTTGTTTCTTTTCAAAATGTTTTAAATATGTATAAAACTATTACCTACCCCACCCATTTTAAAACACCATTTTGGAAGAAAAAATCATTGTTTTCTTTTTAAATGTTTTAAATAAGTATAAAACTGTTACCTACCCACCCAACCCATTTGGACAATAACTGGAGATGTCCATATAGTACTAAAAGATATGCTAAAGAATTTGTAAACCCCGTTCGACAATCTCGTTCCTAACCTGTTATAACGTCTCCCACGAACAGTATAATTTAATACCATTGACTTAAATAAGTTTAAAAAATGGTATTGGAAGTTTGACAACAATTTCTAAAGTCGCATAAAAAAGCCATAGTTTCAGATTTTGCAATTGATACTATATAACCGAAACTGATGCCCACCCTGGTGATATTCACGTGCCGATCAGTATCCCTTCTTCTTTTACATACTTTAAATAGAATAGTCAGCTATTAAAAATACAATTAAAATTTAGGACGCGCTTTGAAAACTAAATCCAAATCTTAAGCTAGATCATTTTGATTTATAAAACAGTTTGTTACAACAGTTAAACTTGTACATGTAGTTTGAGTTTAACGGTCTTTTTTTCATATATAAAGAGATACTTATCTACTTATGTTACCTTATGTATCAGATGTGCAAATAGGCATAAGGCAATTATACATAATACATTTCATATTTACTTTTTTCAAATCAACTGATTAAATTATGCTCTAAGGGTCTGTCCTTCACAAAATTCCATTCTATAACTTAATATGTTATTAAAAACCCAAAGTACGACAGTAGGTGTCGGCAACCTTATGTCTTGAATCGCATCCATTATCCGAAAATATATCAAGCGTATCTCTATCATATCGTAATCTATCACATCATATCGTTATATATATTATATTATATCATTCATATAATAATTATTATATCAACTTATCTCATATCATATCATACCAGTGTCAATTTCATGTCATATTCCATGTCATGTCATATATTTTTATTATATTATGTCATGTCATGGCATGTAATTTTATATTATATCATACCATATTGTATATCGTATATCAAATCATATCATGTGTCTATAACAGTTCCTTTCGAAGGACCAGACGGTAAAGCAGAGAAGCTTTACCTGACTTCATTCAAGCGTACCGGTATCTGTTCACCTCCCCCAACTTTGTTCACCCTACCCCCCTCCCCCTACTGCCCCTCCTCTTTCAAATGAACTGGTTCCGCGTGGAAGAACTTAAAAGTATTTGTAATCAATCGCACACACTAACATTTCGCCTTCCATTAGTACTTTAGGTCCTTTGATTCTGTTGTATGTTTGACTCAATTGTTTTAAAAACTTTTCCTTAAAATGTTATACTGAAAATCAATGATAAAAAACTTTTAAATGACACCTACTAGTGATGGACATGACTGTATCTTAGGATCTGCATGCCTACTCTTTCACTTTAGTGACTGTTATTATTATTTCATGTTAAAGATCTTGGTAGTATTCTCTTGATTATAAACATATTTGTTAGTTAAAATTTGCCGACGTTTTATAAATAATCTGTATTTCAGGATGTAAGGTTCCTTCTTGCATTTGCGACGGTGTTTGCTCTGACATCGAATTGTTCAGGTAACTTACGACATGCTTATTTACATAAATCAAATGTTTGTAATAAATTGAAATTAGTATGCTTATTAATTTACATACTTATATATGTATATAAGCCGTTATAGAATGTGTGCACGTGCATTACTAACAATTACATAATACAGGTTTCTATGGAAGCATAAACATGCCCTTTTTACTTGTGTCTTATGACTTTTGACTTGTGACTTGTGACTTATGACTTTTGACTTGTGACTTTTGACTTGTCTGTTGAACATGATAATTCGGCGCGTTTTTGAATGAAATATGGCAGAAAACGAGTTTTTACATAGAATATTTTTGTTCATTGAATTGTATCAGTTAATTTTAATATAATCTACGTTTTAAGTACTTTTCTCGATTTGTTTGTGATGTTTTTGTGTTTGAAATGTTGTGACAGTGCGTCTGATCATCTTTCCTATAAAGTACCTATGAGAGTGTAACCTTGAGTTAACTATTGCTAAACAGATTCAGATTTATGTAAAACTATTAAATTTCTTCACAATGTGCCATTCCAAGTTATAGATGTATATTCATGTAATTAAGCTTTGGGGTGTGTAGTTTTTTCTTCAAACTTACACACTGCATACTACTTATTTGAAACAACATTTATTTTACATGTAGTAACATAAGCTTATGCTATGCACCGTAATTCAATTTGTTATCGTTGTTGTTTGTCATTGTTTGATCATCGTATGTAGTTTAATAATAATTGAACATCTTTTTGGTTTTTATATTGATAGTGATAATAAGTAAATATCAGCAAAATCTTAGTAAAGAGGAGAGACAATGGTATATGTTCTTATTTTGGAAAGAAGGGAGGTGTAGTTGTATGGGTCGTTGTAAGGTCCAATAAAACGAGGGTAGTTCGGAAAGTGTTGTAACTCGACTTTTTTCTGGAAAACTATTAGAGAATGAGATGTTATAAAAAGTTTTATTGCAAGTTATTTATCTTCGTGCTATACAACCATATAATGTTGCGAAAATCAATGCACGATGTATATCAGCAATTCATATCAGTAGTGGGTATGGTTTATATACTGGGCAAAAAATCGAATGGTTATCTGCAAGATTTAAGAAAGAAAAAAATACGTAGTCTTCAACAGAAAGAACATTCTTTAATGTGCAAAACAAATCTTTATAATATCTTTATTGGTTTTCCAGAAAATGGTCATGTGGCAATAATTTTCGAACATCTCTTGCTTTGTTTATATGTTCCTTCTATAGTTTTAAAAAAAATGAAACAATTAGTTTCAGAATTAAAAGTGAAATCTTTGAGGTCTTTTTCTTTGCAACCAAAAACACCTTTACCTCATTGAGGAAGTTGCTTGCCAATGTGAGACATACTACTGCCAATAGTGCCGTGCCAACGTGCCAACATGTCACAAAAATGCACCACAATTTGACAATTCATGAATTGGCCTCTGAGACCTTTGCCATAGAAAGAGGGACCTGGGCGTGCAGCACAATTTCTATTTATATTGTAAATTTGGCTAGGCTATTTGAACATCCCATCATCATTTACTCCTTAAACAAAATGTTTTACAAAAATGTGACCTTTCTAATATATATACACACTTTGGTTCGGTACTGTGACACTCACCATTGACTTTGTTACTTTAAAATATGTGTGACAGGCATTACTTACATTTACCATGTCGCATCATCATCTGCTGTTTGAATATTGTTGATGTTATCTGTTTGAAAACAATTTAAAGAGACTCGGATACTTTGTACTTTTGTTAATGAAATAGGAGCAGGCACGGGCGAACTTTGTTCTAGACATACATTTATAATTAAACTTGTCAGTTGACCTAAATTAATCGTCATGTTGTAAGATAAACTAGAAATGATATATGTTGTTTTGGATTAGGACTTGTCTGTCAAATTTGGTCGGACACATTGATTGATGAATTTCCAATTACATGTATAATTTTTAAATACTAGTAGATTACATCAACAATCTTACAACAGCATACGTGGGAGCGCCATGGTAATAAAAATCTCGAAACAAAGTGATCCCCGAATAAGCCATATCTGCCATTCTCGTATTTATATGCAAAACACAAATGTCATTGACTGATCCAGTTTTGAGTTTCTTGTGATTAATCCAAAACACCAAAGCTCATTATTGTCATGATTGAAATATTTATTGCGAATACATGTACAAGTGTATATAAGTACGCTTCTACTATGACGTTTGGCATTTTTATTGAATTTGAGGTGCGGACATTAACTAAAGTTTATATATCAGCATAAGAAATGATATCATAATTGATCAAAAAAGAAAATAAATCACTGTCGATTATCAATGAGGATAGTCTATTAATGTTCCACAGAAAAAGGCTGTCTCTGTTTATCTTCCTAGCCTTTGTAGGAGTACCGTTTTTTTCCACTGGGGTGGCAGACCGCGCTCGGTGCAGATATCTGCGGCACCACTGAGTGCGATATAGCGGTAGTTACCGGAATAGGTTCAGTAGTATCATCTATGTACATTTAATTTAGATGGAGGGATTTTGAAATAATTTGGCACAAACGTTCACCATCGTAAGAAGATGTACCCGGTATGCAGACACATCTCTAAACCTTTAATGATAAAGGTCAATGTCAAGTATGGGTCAACACCAAATGTTGACATTTCAGACGAAGGCTGCTTTTGTCCAAATGAAATTTTGTTAAAACATCAAAGGCTTTGGCTTAAATAAATAAAGAAGTTATAACAGATTAGTTATAATCTGTCTGTCTAAGTGACCTTGACCTTCAACTCAGGGTTGCGGCTGTATATAGCGACACCTCGTCTCGTGATGGTGACATTTGTGCCAAGTTATTTCAAAACCCACTCATTCATATAGAAGTGGACGTTTAACCTCTAAGTGTGACTTTGACCTTCAGTGCGGAAATGTGTCTTATACTGGGACACATCTTATGATGGTGAACATTTGCGCTAAATTATTTCAAAATCCTCCATCCATGTAGCAAAGAACAAAGCGGTGACGAACAATTTCAACCCAGTTTGACAGTGTTGTGGATACATAATACATACATTTGTAGTAGCTGTTTATATATTTACAGCTGTGTAGTCGTGTTGCATTGTCGTTTTTTAGTCGCAGGATGTCTGCTACCCGTACCAATTTATTGAAGCTCGAAAAACAATTGCAGTGCCGTTTCAGCGTCAAGTGCCATTTGTAATCCGGTTTCAAGAGTTTAGCCAATTCTTTAAAGTCTTTATTTCTGTTCTTCGGGATTGAATACATCCGTTGACAACAAATTACGTCTTGTATATCAACACATTTGTACCGAAATCTTTGACTATCAAATAGTTCGGGTAAAAAGAACATTACGTCAGGTTTTCCATATTGAGCTCGTTTTATTCTTTTGGGGTCTAATAGCGTGAGTATTCCAGTTTTGAGCAATTCGATTCAAGTTGTGTTGGAATTTAGATCCTTGAAGCAAAATTTCAGATTAACAGAGTGGACTGGGTCGAGTTTATCATATCGTCAAGAATCGCGCAAGTCTCTTTAAAAAAAGCTGAGCCACCACTGTAAATCTTCTTGTCGTAAAGAGCCTAACCAAAGTTCAACTCGCTGATTGGAAGTACTTTTACCAATTATAAACTTCTGTGTTTTTGCAAAAGCGTCAATTGCATTGTATCGAAAGAACTGTTGTAAAAGGTATACATCAGAGTTTTCTCTGTTCTAGCATCACAACGTATGATACGAAGTGCCTTTTCAAAATGACTTCAGGGAATTAAAAAAAATACTTTGGAATGAGGTATGGATTATTGTTTGTAACCGATACCTCTAGCCAGATCAATCTTCTACTTAATCTATCAATAATACTATGGATACAAAATCCAAAGGGTTTTAACTTGCAATAACCATCTAAATGCCAAACATAGTTGGGACCTTTCGCACAATAAACACGCCTTTTGAGACGATAGGTTCTTCTCAGATCAGATGAGTGCCCTCAGGATCTAAAATCTTCATTACCTCCATAACTTCCTGATGAGTTGTCTTCACATTATGATTAATTTGAAGCCGTTGCCACAAAACCTATAACCCATGGTTTGTCCACAAGTATTCAGCTCTTTGTGAATGGTATTAATAACTGTGGGGTTGTAATCCCCGACGTTTTAGGTTAAACTTCTTTAGGAATCTATATAATTGCCGCATTGACAACAAAATTTTATGTCTATTTAATAAAAATTCTAGAATCTCGGTGTATTTGAAACCAAGTTTGAAATATTCAATAATAAGTTCGGACCTCTGATTCAAAGTTTGCTTTGGCAAAAAGGTTGGTACAACACACATCACCACATAAAAAAGTGCCAAAATCATTAATATTATGAGCCCAATCTCCATTTTTATTTCTGTTCATCTATATCAGTATCTGTCAGTATCTGTAAAGTATATAAAAAATAGTGTTAACAGTCAGGATGATTAGTGCAAATAACAACAATATATCTGGTACTATATGTTCTAGCATAGTGTAAAGAAAAATCTAACATGAATTTTCCTTTTCTTTTTTTTTTTTTTCAATCTTTAACTCGCATGTCAAGGGTTTTGCTTTGGATAATACATAACATAATTTATTTAGGTATCATAGTGCAGAAAGGTTGGAGCTTACAGACACTCTGTAGAATCTCTTATAGGAACGTCAGCAATGGTTGTTTAGTTTTTTTGCCCAGTGAAGCACCAGCTAGCACAAACCTAGCAGGCAGGATTTAAACCTAGACTGCCAGCAAATTCTCCTATCATAAGTCAATTGTGTGAACCACTCAGTCAGCCTGCTACCCTGAGCGACACTCTGCGCTAGCTAGCAAATTGATTAATGTGAAAATATATTTTAAAATTAAAAAATCCATCAACCCTCGAATGCATCAGATACTACTGTATCATAATTTACAGGCTATGTACAGCTTCCACAACCGTCATTAAAACAATAAATTTTAAGAGAATCTACACGTGAGAGAGGTTTGTATAACACTTACATTTTGAATAAAACAGAACAAAGGTCGACAATGTTGAGCAGCCTTCAAGTCGCAGCTAATCCAGATGATAAAATACGATTTTAAAAGAGACTGTGTTATAAAACGCCTCAATTAAATGGGAAAAATGTTCTAGTATATAAAGCGTTTTCGTCTGCCATATTTTATTCGAAAACGCGCCAATTTATGTCAAACAGGTAAGTCACAAATCAGAAGTCAAAAGTCATAAGTCATAAGTCGCAAGTCATAAGACACAAGTTAAAAGGGCAGGTTTATGCTTCCATAGGTTTCCTTCAGTCATTTATGTTTCCATACAAATAAAAGGTTTCTTATTGTTTAATAATTATATCTTTTATGTTTAACCTTTATTACAGCATTACTTACGGCGTGTGCGAATAATACAGAATGTACCGCTGACCAGGCTAACTCAGAATGTGATCTGGTAACAGACACGGATGGTAATGGAGATGGTGAATGTGTATGTACAGCTGCATACAAGGATAATGGGGCCGGTGGCTGTACTGCAAAAGGTTATTTATATTTATCTGTCAAAAAAAAATATAACCTCTTTCAAATATTTGAAATGTCGTTATAATCGGTATATTATGTAAGAAAACTTGTTAGGTGATTCAAAGAATATGAGTATCAGACGAAATAAAGACGAACATATCTCAGTTGGACATTTGTAATTCCAGATTATTATTGTAACTCGACTGATTGTTATATCAAGGTAGAAGCCGATTTAATTGATATATTACATTTCATTGTAGCTATTTCACTTTTCTCGTTATGCCAGCAGAATTTAGTTCTCCTTATAATATGCGTCACAAATTTTGCAAGCATATGGAGAAAATTACTTTTAAAGAGCTTCATAGATATACAATTGTAGCGGTCTTCGTGGGAAAAAACAAGAGCAACATAGATATACAATTGTAACGCGAAAAATATTTGCCTGATCAGGGTGTATGTTTTATTGTTTCAATATTGAAAGATATAAAGTTAACGAAAAAATTGGCAAAAACCATTCGCGGTGATCCAATGTTACAGTAAACAAATGTCACGGTGATCACCAACCCTGTGTTATATTCGGGAGTGACGCTATCTCATGTCCGCAATTATGATTGTATATAAATTCAAAATATGAAAATACCTCTCTTAATTAAATGGTGTTAGGCTTATCTATTGTTTACTTCTTTAAGTTTTTAATATAACGATAACATGTTGTTTACAATTTTAAGTGATACATGCCAGTGCCGACTCGGATTTTCTTGCATATCAGACTGGCGTTTTCCGTTAGTTTTACCCATGCCGGAAAATTTTCATCTGGCATAGGGGGTTCCAGATGAGTTCCCCGTGCAGTAACAATGGCAAAAGAAAAAAAATGACGTAAATTTTTCGGGTTTTGAAAATTTTTTTGATTCATACGCTGTTGAATGAAAGTAGTTACGGTTGTGACTTCGTTTGTGACTTCGGTCACCCGCCCATGGGCGGTAACTCGGCAAGCCTCGTTACCGCCCAATGGGCGGGTCACCTCGGGAAGGATATTCCGATCCGAACCGCAAAATATGACAGAGATTATTAGTGCCGCTGTGACAAATGCTAATTGTAACACGAACTGTGTGTGTGAGGGACAATACAAAACGTCAGGGTCTACTTGTGTTGCTAAAGGTCTGTGGGTTTCTACAATAGTCGTGTATTTGAAAAGAAATATTCTTCAAAAAAAAAATTATTATTTGTAAAGTATTAGTGTATTAACTTGTATTTACGTTTGCCAATATCTGTTTTAAAATGAAACAAATATAAGCAAAAGTTTGTCATGATTGAAATGTTGAAGATCATAAAAAACAAACAGTTCTAAAACTTTGCTTTTTTATTTTCATTGCACAAAATTATTAATGTTTCACACTAACCATTATTTTTCTAATTGTGCTAGAGACAGTTTTGCACATTTCTTACCAATAGACATGTAATGTGTTCCGATCGAGATCGAATATTCCCCGGGAGATTTTTATTATATCACCTATATAGAGAATATTCCCCGGGAGATATTTATTGTATTACCTTGTAGAAAATATTTCCCGGGAGATATTTCTTGTATCACCCTGTGGCACATGAATATCACCATGTAGAGCATATTTCCCGGGAGATTTTTCTTATATTACCATCCGTAGGTGACTTTCCGGTATAAAAACATATAACACATGGCTGTCCGAGTGATAGTGGATATTTTACCAGGTTGAAATTATCCAACATCACTAGGACGGGCAAGTATTATCTATATAGTAGCACTTGATACAATTTTTTGTGATGTGTTTCCTACTTTCAAAATTACAAAATTCTTATGTTCATGTGACGTTATACTGGTGTTAAAGGTAGCTTGTATGGCGGCTGATTTGGTACATTGCGCGTTGCGATGTGATTTGGTACATTGCGCGTTGCGTTGCCGATATCGACAATGCAACCTTTATCGTTATCGCCTTTTCGTCTTGACGCTAGCGACAACACAACAAAAGCGACAAACGGCGCGTTGTCGCGCTGTCGTCTTGTCGTTCTGTCTCTGGCGAAACACGCCAAACGGCGCTTTGTCCTGTTGTCGCTAGCGCCAACACGACTCACAAACGCGTTCCAAATAATTGTCGCTCGATTCAAATCGAAGGATTTGCTTATTAGCCAAGCGACAAAGGCGACACCGCGACAACGCGCCATTTGGCGTGCTTTGCTAGAAACAGGTCGACAAGACGACAGCGCGACAAAACGCGTTGTTTGGCGCTTTTTGTCGTTGTTGTCGCTAGCGACAAGACGAAAAGGTGATAACGATATAGGTTGCGTTTCGCTATCAAACAATGCAACGCGCAATGTTACCAAATCAGCCACCATAAGTAACGCTGAAAATATCAATAAATAATCTTCACTGTGTCAATGTGACTGAAAATCAAACAAAACAAAACAAAAAAGCATAGCGATCGTTAAAACTGATATAGTACATATACTTTTATATTTTTATATTAATTAGTATTGTATATATGTATACTGTGTGTATCAAATGTAGGTCTTGGAGACACATGTGGCGCTAATTCGGACTGTTCCGGTGTTTTAGTAACTCTGAATGTAGTACAAATTGTGTGTGCAGCTCAGGTTATACCAGAGCGGTTCTACGTGTGACTCCTGGTAGTGGTGGTGAGTAAAATGAAGATAAATTCATGAACAATGTAACCTTTAATCTTTACATATTTCTTACCAGTGATAAAAATGTTACATAAACATGTATTTCAGTGTGGCAATACCACGTGACTATGACGTCATTTTCGGCATCATTTCCAAGACAAATATTGCTCGACTCGGAAAAGAAAATAGCCGTAAATATTTTATTTCTGTAACCAATTTCTTTGGGATATGCACCAGTCTACGGGGAAAAATATTAAGCTTCCCACAGAATATTGGATCTTTGTCAGTTTATAAGCCGTTTTATCAAAAACACTTTGCATAACCTTGGAAGTTGCTTGTATTAGAGCGGGCTTCAGTTTCAAGCTATTTTCGTTTTCTGGCGTTATCTGGTCTACGTCTTGATTAAAAAGTCAGGTTTACATTAACCGGGAGTACGGAAGGCAAAACTCTGCCTAAATATATTCATATTTTTATTATAAATGACATAAATCTTTTATTTTTCTTCAATTGTCAATTCTGGCACCAGTTCCAAGTCGAAAAAAAGGACTACAGTTTAAAGCAGATTTAAGAATCCGTTGCAAATGCAAAGCAACATGCCTACCGTTCTCTTTCTATAATTATGTTAACCATGAAAAACATTTTATTTACTATACGATTTACTTTAACACAAATGAATATTTAAATGATTTTTACTCGCTGCGCTATAAGTGATTTTAAAAGTCGTAAAATTGTTATCTGTATTTGTAAAGAAATTTATTTGCTCTTTAATCATTGTTCTTTCACGGTAATGATTATGAAAACTCTATTTGTGTCATGTAACAATACTAAACGTGGAATTGAAAACAGAAACCCTAAATATCACCAGAAACGGCAAAATTGAAAATGTTGCAGGCTCGGATTAGCTTAGCTAGCTAGCCTGTCCAATGAACGTGCACATTCAGGATCACTTCGATTTGTATGCTGTGAAAAGGGTTACGCCTCAACGCGGCAATTTTAAAGTCAAATGTTATTCTTTTTTTTAAAGAGTTATTTATACGTATAACCATATAATTATATATAAAGAACCTGTAGCAATGTTTAAGTATGATAGATTCAGCTTTTTAACTCGTTGATAAAAAATATTTTTACATCCTGTTTTCATACCCACGGTAACCGTTATGCGTGAACTGGATATAACTTCGTTCACTTAAGAACACTATTAAACACACTATTAAACACTATCTTTTTCATAATTGCATTTATTTCTGTTGATAAACTGCATATCTGACAAATTTAGTTAATTATATCAGTCAACTCAGCTTTGTCACAGAGCTCACCAATATACATTGTAAAGAGAGGAAGGGAACGGAATATTTATGGTTTGAAAACATTTAAATCGAGTAGAACTTTTTAACTTTCAACTGAATAAAAACGATAGGGCTATTTGGGACTATTTCTTATCTATGTGGTCATTGGCTGTAAATGCATGGATTATTGCACGCGTCATGACCTGCAGATGTCCTCAACAGGATTTTTGTAGCATTTTAATATTTAAAAAAAGAACCACACATTAAAATCTAACACATGATAAACATGACGCATATACTAAATAAGTGAATTATCTGATATGTAAATAAAGGAGTAAGTCATTTGACAGTTGAAAGATAAAAATTAAATATAGTCTTCAAATGTAATCGTAATTTTACTAAGCTTATGTTAGCTATCAATTATTCAATGGACGCATCAGTGTCATATGGACCCAAGTCATTATTCTTGCCGATGTTGCTATTACAGATGTTAATTTATATATTTATATAATTATTGATAATCATTGTTATTTCCGTCTTTTTGGATGTTTTGATTCAAGAAATTTGACTGTGATAGATGGTTGTTGGTTTGTAAAATCATTTATCTGTTTACTATTTTCTACCTTGTTTACTCCACATGGCGTCCATTCTCGTTCTTATTCATGGCTATTTTGGGTCTTTTTTATAAATAGAGAATCACAAGTAATACAACTAAGTAACAATACTATCAGATTTACACGGAAAAGTTCCAAGTTCAAATTGTGATTTCGTTTATCAAACTTTATAGAAATTTATTATACAACAATTCCAGAATATATATATATATATATATATATATATATATATATATATATATATATATATATATATATATATTATATATATATATATATATATATATATATATATATATATATATATATATATATATATATATATATATATATATATATATATCTTTTTAAAAGTCTCTCTTTTGAGGACAGAAGAACCTATTCGTCACATTCACGAGTGTCAGTGTTTGTCAGTTACTCTTTACAAAAATAAACTGAAAAAAATCTTTAGCTTTACAACACTCGCGTTATTAAAGTGTAAACCTTTCCATAGCATACAAATTTAAAGTGTTTTTTTTAACTCTTTCTCTCACTGAGAGCACATATATTTCTTATCAAGTTCGCCATTGTGAAATAGAATAAAACACATTTTACTACATAGGATAAAATGAGCAATACTTTAAACATCTTCAAAACGAAACTAAAATATTATTTTCCTATCTACGTGATTTGACGTGCACTATTGCGATACAAGTAAGTGTTATTGCTTAAAGGAAAAATCGGTTTTTTCACTATCTCTCTGTGAATGATCAACAATGAAAAACTAAATTGTAGAAAGAGAACGGTAGGCATGTTGCTTTGCATCTGCAACGGATTCTAAAATCTGCTTTAAACTGTAGCCCTTTTTTACGACTTGGAACTGGTGCCAGAATTGACAATTGAAGAAAAATTTAAGATTTATATTCATTCATAATAAAGATATGAACATATTTAGGTAGAGTTTTGCCTTCCGTACTCCCGGTTAATGTAAACCTGACTTTTTAATCAAGACGTAGACCAGATAACGCCAGAAAACGAAATAGCTTGCAACTGAAGCCCGCTCTAATACAAGCAACTTCCAAGGTTATGCAAAGTGTTTGATAAAACGGCTTATAAACTGACGAAGATCCAATTTTCTGTGGAAAGCTTATATTTTTCCCCGTAGACTGGTGCATATCCCAAAGAAATTGGTACAGAAATAAAATATTTACGGCTATTTTCTTTTCCGAATCGTGCAACATTTGTCTTGGAAATGATGCCGAAAATGACGTCAATGTCACGTGGTATTGCCACACTGTATTTATCTAAGCATAAAAGCATCTTCCTTATGTGTATGTTCAGCAAAATAATAATGATTTAGCACCTTTGATAACGACTGCTTTGATTTTAACTCTGTTATGAAACAAACAAATACCCCCCCCCCCCAACAAAAAAACAAAAACCTTTTCCAGGATTCGAACCAAGATCTCTACACTTCCTAAAGAACACTCTACCTCTGCGCTATTACGCTGTGGTATGCTGAATGTTCATAGTGGTTTCCGTTGTAAAACGATGTAAGCCATGAACAGTATAATTTATGTAGTTCAGTTCAGTTTATTTAGCCAATCGGCATAATACCATAGCTTTGCTCAATTATCAATTACATAGTGAAGAATATGGCCAAGACAACATAAACATATAAACAGTACATAATACAGTGCTTCCAATATATGAGCCGTGTCATTACAAAACCAACATAGTGCGTTTGCGACCAGCATGGATCCAGACCAGCCTGCGTCTGATCAGGATCCATGCTGTTCGCTTACAAACCCTATAACAAGTAGAGAAACTGATAGCAAACAGCATGGAGCCTTGTAGGAGAACATTTGTCTCGTAGCACATTTGTCTTACGTAAGACCGATGCGGTCGCATTTGTCCCACATTAGACAAATGGGACCTCAAATGTCTACCCAAAAAAACTCATTTGTGTGACAAATGTGCTCCGATCAAGTTTTTTAAGGGACAAGAAAGCACATTTGTCTCATTTTTTTAAGGGACAAGAAAGCACATTTGTCTCGTCATTTTTTATGAATTATTTGTCACATATTTCCCCACAGCAGAAATTCTTTTTTAGAATCGAGGTTCGCCGTTTTACCTCAAGTGTAATCATCAATATGTTTGCGTATGCTTTCTTTATGAAAACCTACAGTGAACTATTAATTATAATATCTCTAATTCAAGAAATTGATTGGCTTAACCTGAAGGCGAACACTGAAACATACTAAATCCCGTTCACGACGGTACAATGGTGACAGCGCGATGGCACGATGGTACATTGATGAAAATGCGATGGTGCGATGGTGAAAACACAATGGTACGAACGTGAAGCAACGATTGTACGATGGTGAAACAACGAGTGTACGATGGTGAAACAACGAAGGCTCGATGATGAAAACGTGATGATGAAAGACGATGTTACGATGGTGAAAATACGATGGTACGATATGATGAAACTGCGATGGCCTGATGATGAAAACGCGATATTATTTTCTCTATCGTGTCATCGCATCATCGTGATTTCACCATCGTGCTTTAATCATCGCACCATCGTACCATCTCAATTTCACCTTTGTACCATTGTGCATAGCTGTTCAGGGAGACAAAAATGTTACTTATGTCAAAACGGAACACCATAATCGGTTGATATTAAAAGATACAATATTGTGACTCGTTTTGCATCTCGCCGAAATCTCGTGTCTCGCGAAATCTCGCGTCTCGCTTCGCCTCCCGTTCGTCGACGCGAGACAAGAAATTGATTCCAGGTCATATATACCGCTAAGTAGTATTCCCTTTATAGTCTTTATAAAATCAGTTAAAGGCCCATTATGCCTGAGAAATGCTTTTATTTGTATTCCTCAAAAGCTGTGTATTTTTGGTATAGTTTTTTAGCTCCAAAAAGTAACTCATTGGCTAATTATCTGAAGCATTTTTCATCGGCTGCTTTTTTGCAGTTTGTACAGTTGAAATGATTTAGAATTTTATATTGAAGCCAAAGTACTACATTGTTTACATTTTGCTACTTTTATTACGCATTACTTCACACTTATCGCGAATTTCTTTGGGTTACAAGCATCTAACT